GGGAGATGGTCACACTTGAAGCTCTGACTCAAGGGAGGTGGGGGGGGCATGGCCAATATACGTAACCTTAACACTTATACCCCCATAATATGCTGAAAAAAAAATAAATAAAATAAAATAAAATAAATAAAAAATTGATGAATGGATAAACACAATGTGGTATATCCACACAACAAAATATTATTTGGCCATAAAAAGAAATGAAGTACTGATACATGCTACCACATGCATAATTTGAAAACATTATGCTAATGAAAGAGGCCAGACCAGAAAGACTATATATTCTATGATTCCATTTATATGAAATATCCAGAATAGTCAAACCCAGAAAGTAGATTAGTGGATTAGTGCCCTTAGGAGCTGGGGGCAGGAGACATGGGGACTACTAATGTGTATGGGTTTCTTTTTGGGGTGATAAAAATGTTCTGGAATTAGATGATTGTGCGGTGTTATGAATATACTAAGAGCCACAGAATTAAATACTTTTAAAAGGCAGATTTTATTGTATGTGAAGTATATCTCAATAATACTGTCATTTAAAAAAAGGATTCCAGCTAATAAAGAATGAAAATTAAAATCTCACATTTTGCAACTCATAATAAAATAATGGATCTAGGCAATGATCATCAATGGCTGCTAAAACCCAGATAAAAAGTTGACAAGGAACTTTATAACAGGGAGATCAGAGTTACAATGTCTCAACCTACTGATCAAGCCTAATATAATAAAATAACTAGATTTTACTGAAATAAAGATTTCAGAGGGGCCGGGCGCAGTGGCTCACGCCTGTAATCCTAGCACTCTGGGAGGCCGAGGCGGGCGGATTGCTCGAGATCAGGAGTTTGAAACCAGCCTGAGCAAGAGCGAGACCCCATCTCTACTATAAATAAAAAGAAATTGGCCAACTAATATATATATAGAAAAATTAGTTGGGCATGGTGGCGCATGCCTGTAGTCCCAGCTACTCGGGAGGCTGAAGCAGGAGGATCACTTGAGCCCAGGAGTTTGAGGTTGCTGTGAGCTAGGCTGACTCCACAGCACTCACTCTAGCCTGGGCAACAAAGTCGAGACTCTGTCTCAAAAAAAAAAAAAAAAAAAGATTTCAGAGGAACATATTCAATAACACCATAAGGATGCAATCAGCAAAATCCAGACTGTGAGAAAACACACAGGACAAATAACATAGATCAAATAAGAAACACATCAAGTGGATCGAAAGTATGGGCTTTGTATTGATCATGATTCTAACATGTCAAATGATATATATATATGTGTGTGTGTATGTGTGTGTGTGTGTGTGTGTGTGCAAATCAGAGACATTTGAATACCAACTAGACGCTTGATAATATAAAAGAATTATTATTAATTTTTCAGGGTCCTAATGGTATTGTACTTAAATTTTAAAAAAGAATCCTTATCTTTTAGAAAGATATACTAAAATATTTATAGATACAATTATACAATGTATGAGATTTATTTCCTAATAATACATGGGGAAGGCCATCATACAAGATGGCCATGAGTTAATAATTGCTGCAGTGGGTGATGGGCAGGTACACAGGAGTTTAATTTATTATTCTAATTTTGTACATGTTAAGATTCTCTGTTAAAAGTGTTTTAAGAAAAATGTACTAAGCACCTTTATTTAGGCCATACAGTGTGGTAAGTGCTTTCATATGCACTTTTATTTCCAGCAATGGCGTAGCACATGGACACTAGCAGGCAATGAGTAGGAATAAATGAATGAATGGCCAGCGGGACTCAGTAACTAGCAGTTGCTAGCAACTAGCAGGCAATGAGTAAGAATAAATGAATGAAGGAACCGTTTCCTTCAATTCTTCAATCCTAAGTGGTAGATCATAGACTCCGTGTTGCAAATGGGGAAACTTAAGCTTCAGAGTTTGGCCAACATTAAACAGCTGCTAGGGCAAACTCTTTCTACTATGCCTCAAATATGAGCATTTAAATCTTTTAAAAAGTGGGAAGTAAAAACACTGGCTAATATTCTAATTTGCATATTTTCTCAACCATTCTCATTGAAGAATGCTATATACTTCTGTAGGGCCATTGATATTATTTGCATGTTGTGGACACGTGGTCTCTCAGATCAGACATGTCTGTGGGTACAAAGGCATTCAGCTACAAAAGAGAAGAACCAGCTATTTTCATTCTCTTGCTGGAGAAGAGCTCAGGCTCACTGTATCGACTCACCTGCCTACTATTAACCCAAATCACTCATGGTGAGAACACTATACAGAGTATTTGGACTTCTTGTGTCTCTTGGTGTTTATAAGATAGAAAAGAAAGAAAAAGATGTCAAAAATCCAAGATACTCACTGGCAGATTAAAAGGAAAACTACATTGACTCACTTCTCTCCAACTAGCACCCTGTAAAGCCTTTTCAAAGCCACTTATTCACCTCCTTTTAGTCCCCTTCCTGCTCTCTTTGCTTCATGCTCTCAAACTCACTTAAAAAAAATACTCCCAAAACTGTGTCTTTTCAAGGCTGACACATATAAGTACACACATACACATGGCCATCTTTGATAATGCACTTGCTTTGCTCAGGAAAGAAAGTATAATAATACAAGCCAGTTTCTCTTATTGAACAGAACCACTTTTGAAAATCAGTTCCATAAAAGTAAATAAAAACCTAGATTCATTTTTCCTTCCCACTTGTCCAAAAATCTACATTAGTCCTTTCATCAAAGAAAAAAATAGGCCATTTTCAGAATTCCTGTTGCCATCTTTTTGGAACATTCTTCTAAGGGCTTCATTTCATTCTATTAAATGTAAAAGAAAAATTATTTAGGTTTTTAAATAGGGTAGGTCATGCTAAATTCAATTTCTGGCCATGCCATGTGAGGACATACAAAATAACATTAAGCAAATGTAAACAAAATTAAAAAACTAAACTCAATCCACACCCATGTCTCCTCCTTAGCATCCTTCCACCAGGCACCTCCCCTGGGATGGTGTCCTCATACAGCACTGTCTAGGAACGAGAGGCTCCTACATGGGGCCGTTCCCTCCAGTAGCCTCCCAAGTGGTGTAGTGCAGGCCACTGAGGAAGCCTGGATGTACAATATGAGTCCCACTGGCCGAACAGGCAAGAAAACCCCCTCCCAGGTCTGTGTTCTGACAGCAAGGGCCACAGCTGACAACAGCAATGGCACAGGCCCTAGCAGTCTCCAGGGTCCCAGGTCACCTTATTTCAGAATATTCATAACCTGAACCAAACTTGTAAAGCTTGAACTAAACAAAATGAACCCACCGTGTCTCCTTATTCATACTGAGCTATCAGAGGCAACTAGCAAGAGCAAAAGGCTGGGATTCAGAAAACTTGTGCTCGAGCCACCTCTTCCCGGCCTCATGACCTTGGCTAGGTAGGTAGATTCTCTATCCATGGAGGGAGATGATAAAACCACCTTGAGGATAAAATATTAAATAACAAATGCAAAAGCCTTCTGAAAACATAAAAAACAAGACACATGTAAAACTTCATTCTAAAGAGTGATAGATAGAATACTATTTCTCCCCAGCCCCTTCTTGGCCCTATTCCCTTCCCTTCTCTCTTGCTCTCTCCAACTAGTGCAATCATGTTAAACATATACTCATGCCCTCCAGATCTCTATTTAGTGTAACTGCTCCTTTTTGGAAACTCCAGGGATCTCTGTAATTCACACAGCTCATCTCCAAGCAGAGAGCTGCTCCGAAGGCTGAGTGATTTAGTGAGCCAAACAGCCAGAAAGCTGTCCTCTTTGAAAAAAGCAAAGAATCCCAGATGATAGCTTTTCAAACAGAAACAGGAAAAATGTGGTCTGTGCCACAAGAGGGGCCCCTAGCCCTGCTGTCGATGCCCCCAACATCTCCAGCTGAGCCGGGCTGCATGGAGACACACAGATATCTGCAGCGGGAAAGCTCTGCTGTCTGGGAAGGGAGTTTTGGAGAATTCGAATTCATCTAGACCAACAGTTCTCCCTTCTCTGCCTCCCTCACTCTACTCACCTTCTCCCACAGCCTGTTGTGTATATCTTTAGTTTAGCATACCTCACAAAGTATTAGAATAGTCACTACAGATCTCCATCCTCACCACCGGTCTGATCGCTGCTTACTCTAGACTCTAAGCTCCTCCTTGGAAGAGATCGTGCACTGTCCTCACTACAGCTACAGCCCCTTATGCTAACTGCTGCCCATTGTCTAATAAAAGATATTTGCCTTTATCTGCAGGAATTAACAAAAGCTACCACTGCTTTTGTCAAAGAGCCAGAAGAATGATGTAGATCAAGCATGGCATGAAATATCTCCAGTGGTCAACCAAGTCAAACAAACGAAGTAGGCTGGTCAGGGCCTGTGGTGAACTGTCCACACTTGTCTCAGAGGCAGAGGCTACTCAGCACCAGAGTCCTTTTAGGGTTCAAAGAACCAGTATAGACTTGTCTATCTATTCAGTGTTCCAGGAGAACCTGGAAGCCCTGAAAATTATGTGGGATATCTTGAGTTTAGTTAGAATATACCCAGCATGTTTTAAACACTATGTGATTCAAACACAGATGTGCTTCTGGGCCACCTATTTCCGATGAGCTACCTGGTCTGTGACCTGAGCCAGACTGACCAATTCCTGCCCCATGACACCCATTTTAAGCCAGACTGCCTTATATGAACTCAAAAGAAATCTAGTCACAATCACAGTAGTGTCACTCTCTCAAGTCTGAATCATAAATGTCAAAAAAGAGTGGACAAGAGAATATGGACTGCAGAGTTTTCTAGAGTGCCCTGTGGTGTCCCTCAGCACAACTCCCATCTAATCCTTCTCGCCTGATGCTTTACTAGCCTCCCCTTTACTTGTCTATCCCAACCGCCCAGTGGATGTGACAATCAGAAGAGTCTCCCTGGTGTCTACCCTTCACCTTTGTCCCTACACCATGAGGTTCATTCTCCTCTTCCTTGGATAAATAACATGTGCCAGAGAAAAATAAAAAGAGAAAGGCGAACCTTACCCTTGAGGTGGTGATGACGCACGCTCTGCCTTCATCCTGCCCAGTGGGACGTCCATCATCATCCAAGAAGCTCCACCCTTCTCCCCTCACTGGACCGTGTGGTGCACATAGGCATCTAGTGGCCAAAAAGAAGAGGAGACTCCTGTTCTCTGGTTGTACAGGCCAAAGCAATTGCCAGAAAATCACTGTCACCTGCAGAAAAAAACCATCAGTCAAGTTGTAACTCCAAAAAGGAAATACACACCCAAGACATTCTATCTCAGACTCTGTGGTCTGAGATACACTTTACAGAGTAGACCCATATTCGAGAGTCCCATCAATTTCTCATGCAGGAGGTGGTCTTTCTCCCCCTATGGGAGAGGTGGTCTTTCACTCCCATGGGCCAGGTGGCTACGCAGAGATTTGGATAGGTTTCAGGACTCTCATAACTCAACTGTAGTGGAATGCTTGGGATGTCTCCAACAGCACCGGCCAATGACATATCTGAAGATAAAACCAAGCACTAGAATTAGACAGAGGCACTCATTCCCATGCAGTTTCTTATAGGAGTGTTATTCTCCCAGCTCATTCATCAATGATATACTTATAAGCTTCTAAATGAACACATTTTAATCCATCTCAGAGAACAACTTCTGGGTGTTACTGCTCTAATAGAATTAACACTGCTGCTCTAATTTGAAATCAATAGAACTCAAAGGCTGGCCAAATTCAATGTTGCCTTATTCGCCCACTGTTATATGTCACACGTCAGAAATGACCACAGGTGCTAACACAGAATCCTCTGGTTAATCTGTATGTGGTGGTGGAGAGGGTGTTTTAAGTCTCTGGCAAAACAAACAAAAAGACAAATTTCAGTTTCTGTCTCTGAATAAATTGAAGAAAGCAAAAAATGCTGATGCTCAACCAGGTTAAGTCTCGTCTCACGTTGAGGCATTCCCACTGATGCGTACTAGCATCTAAGCATCCATCCATTGATTTTCATGTTTTCCAATCAGCGGCAGGTGCAAAAGGGGGAAGAAAAAAAGGACAAGAAAAACATATTGATTCTGAGCAAAAGACATGAAAGAAGTGCCTCTGGCTATATCAGTGATTAAACAAACAGTCATTGTGGTTTAGGATCTGCTGGGAGTTATCTTAGGCATTAGGAAAACAAACCAGATGCAGCGCCTACCCTCAAAGCCCCAGAGCTCACAGGCCCAAAACCAAATAAACAAGTCATGGTGTCCTAACAACACTGAGGGGACAGGAGGTGGGGGACAAAGCAGAACACAGTTTCTGACTTGGTCCCGGCAGGCAGAGCAATCCTTCAGCACATTCAGGCTTTGCAGGGTGGTAAATTTCCACCTATAGCAGAGATAGATGATAACGAAGAAAGATCTAGAAGTAAAACGCAGCTCCTCCCAAATTGAACTGAGATGGAACTCTAAGCAGAGGAGGTAAAGAAATCACAACAGGAGTAAATAAAATCAATTCAGGAGCCAAATCCCCTCCTCCTCTTCCTCCTCCTCCTCCTCCTCTCCTCCTCCTCCTTCTCCCTTCTCTTCTCCTCCTTCTCCTGCCCCTCTTCCCTCATTCCTCCTCTTCCTCCTTCTCCTCCTCCTCCTCCTCCATCTCCTCTTCCTCCTCCTCCTCCTTCTCCTCCTCCTCCTCCCTCATCCTCCTCTTCCTCCTTCTCCTCCTTCTCCTCCTCCTCCCTTTCCTCCTGCTCCTCCTCATCATTCTCCTCCTCCTCCTCCTTCTCCACAATCTCCCAGTAGCAAACCATTGGCTTAGCCTCAGATATTTGTGTTCCAGCGCTGAAACACAGAAATGTTGTTGCACCTTTTTAAAAAGATATAGTATACACATACATCTTCCTTTCCCTATCAGACGCCTTTCCAACTGTGGCACATTTTAAAGGAAGGTAAGATTAATCTGGCAGGGAGATAATTAACTGAAAACAGCTTTGATATCAGTGTATTAATTACTGAAGAAAAAAATAACAAAGTACTTAAGTTACGCAGCACTTCTAAGAAACCCCAAGCACTGCCTAGAAGTTCATTGCACTAGATCAGGCGTCCTCAAACTACGGCCCACGGGCCACATGCGGGTGTTTTTGCCTTTTTGTTTTTTTACTTCAAAATAAGATATGTGCAGTGTGCATAGGAATTTGTTCCTAGTTTTTTTAAAACTATACTCTCACCCTCCAACTGGTCTGAGGGACAGTGAACTGGCCCCCTGTTTAAAAAGTTTGAGGACCCCTGCACTAGATCACCATGGAAAGGTCAGGCCTGGCTCAAGGACACAGTGAGAGGTGAGTCAAGTGCATCCTTTATACAGACACTGGTACCTGGTGGGCCTTTAGTCAATGTCTGAAGAATAAATGCCAGCCCAGGCTGTCCTTCTCTCTCTCCCTGCCTGCAAAACTCAGAATTCCTATGCCTTGCCCCATTTTCCATCACCATGATTCCTATCCAAAAACTGGATTTTCAGAAAAGATGTAACACTAGTCAATGCCTCTTACTGTGAATTCATGTCAACTCCCACCCTCTAAGAGCATGCGCATCCTAAGTATGACTTCTCAAAGTAAGATGATAACTAGCATTTTCAGTGTCCTCACAAGAAGCCAGGAAACTTCATAGGATTTTTGCATATATCTCCTCTCTCCTCAACCACTGTTACGTGCTAAGTATTATTAGTCTTATTTTATAGGTAGGACATGGAGGCTCAGAAAAGCTACTTGTCCAAAGTCACACACCTAAGGAGTACCAGATCCAGGATTCAAACTCAGGTAGGTCTGCCTGATTCCAATTAGTGTGGGAAATCAAGATCCGTCTTAGTTGTTGGGCAGGTCAAGGAAGGATTGGGGGAAGTGAGCAGAACATGACCCAAACCAGCAGGCTTTGGGGAAGAAAAATGTGTACATCCAACATATTCTCCCCTTCTGCTTAACTCCATCCAATGTTTCTGTTTCTCTGTGTTCCTACCATCCTGACTAGTGTTGGCCCGTTCAGAAGAAAGGTGCATTGTTTGTGATTTAGCACTTAACAGGTTTCTGATTTTGCTGAGTGATTCAGCAGGATCCTGGAAAAACACATCAAGTTCACTCAAGTATTGCTACCCTCTGCAGAATTCCTCTCTTCACAATAACTCTGCATCATCCTTGCACTCCCCCCCGCCCTGGCTATATTTCCTGGTGGGTTGACTACGGGCATTCAAAAATGTATGAAATGACTGCCTCCATTATTGAGAGGGAAAAGGTGAAGATTAAGTGGCATACTGGACTCTTTCATCATCCAGAGACCTGACATCCATTCTTGGAACAGAACCCATGGACAGCACATAGTCCACAGAGTGATGACAACTCCCTACCTGAGGCCTTAGGACCCCGTGGCCTTCTGGATCCTTGACTGAGGCCTTTTGACTGAATCTACCTTTTATAGAACAAATCCTTTTATAATGAAGGGATTTATTCTGTGACGTTTTGATTCTGTGCAGAGGCTTCACTTGGGGATCCGAAGGGCTACAAGTGGCTTTGAGGCTGCAGGTTCTCCACCCCTGCTTCTCCCAGGACTGGGATTCACAGGGGTAAGACCCTCCAAAAACTATAAAACCGGTGCCTGATAGATCAACGTAGACACTGCAAGTGACACTGCAGCATAGGTCTGTGTCGTCTGTACGTGCACACAGAGAATCCCGTGTGTCCCCATCACTGTCCTGTCCACAGTCTTCTGAAATGTTGTCACATCAGTGCTACCCACTAGACTGAGAAAGCCTCCAGTTAGGGACAGTGTCCTAATATCAATCTTCATATTGATTATCCCTGTCACACAGTGGTGCTTGACAGATATTTTTGAAACAATTCCTCTCCCCTGAGCCAACAAGACTAAGGAGCAAATTAATGAAAAGGATCAATATGGATAATGAAAGGCAGTTTGTCAGTAGTGGAAGCAGAGAAGAAAAGTGTGAAATAGGGAAGCTGGTTCCCAAGACCAGCTAAGGAGAAGGGTCTCATCCTGAAGATTCAGCACGTCCACCCTGATCGTGGGACATCTCAAGAATACGGCTTTAAGTGTCAAGACCTCAGAGTTTCAGGTATCATTAAACATCCAAAACATGTCCCCTTTTTCTGACTCCAGGCTCCCCGAGGAAGCTCTTGGTGGTTTGGATTTCCACGCATCTTGCTGACAGGGAGCATATGAACTCTGTAGTCAACATAAGTGTCCACTTTGTCCATTAATTCTGTTTATTAGTGGAACTTAGTAAGACAGGAAGAGGTTTATTTATGCAGCTTCCTGTGAGTTTCAATGCAAGTTAACGTCCTAGAGTTTGATCAGCTCTGGGACACCTGAGAGTGAGTTTCTGAAGTTGCAAGGACATGAGAGAGCCAACCCCTCCCTACCTGTAATAAGGTTACCAAGGAAACAGCACCTTGGAACACCCTCCTGGCAGCCAGCCAGCTTTCCTGGAGGAGACATCCTTGACCTTGGAAACTTCTACAGGAGGGTGTTTCATCTTCAGCTCTATTGATATTGTGGGGCCAGGTCATTCTCGTGGGGGCTGTTTTATGCACCATAGGATGGTTAGCAGTCTCCCTAGCTTCCACCCAGGTGCTGCCAGGGGCACAGCCCCTCCCAAGGCTGTGACAACCAAAAACATCTCCAGATACTGCTAAATGTCCTTTGGGCAGAAAAATCATCCCTAGTTGAGAACCAATGTCTTGCAGGTAGAGTAAAAGGACCTTGGACACCTGTTTGGAAGCTAAAAGCTCAGAAAGCTTGGAATGACAAATTGTACTAACACTTCACCTGCTGACAGCCGGATATTCCCCCGATACTTGTTCTTTTAGAATTCAGTCATGGCATTTCCATTGTCAGACAACCAAAACTCTTAAAATAAGGAAAGGTAAAAGCAAGCATACTTCCTATGGTTTGAGTTTAAAGGTTAGTGATTTTTTCTAAGACAGTCTGTCTTAAATTTTCTAACATTTTCAGTGCCAGAATGCTACACTGCACACATGCACTAACCTCGTTTCAAATGTACAACCTGCCACCACTTTCCGCAGGCAGCAGTGCTCCTGCTAGATACACCCGACCCTGACCAAAGCTCCAATCTTGTGGACACTCACTGATGTCCCAGGAAAAAGGCGCACACATGTTAGTTTCACAGTCTTGCCACTATTAGTCAATCACAGACCAGTTTTCAATAAAATC